GAGCCTTGCCCTTGTTCCTAGCGTACTGTGGATGCCTGCCTGAATAATTGAACTATAGTATAGAGCACTTCAAACAGATCTATTATTCCTGCAAAAGTTCAACTTTTTTTTAGTTAAACTCGAGTGTTTTCCATTTCATTCTTCGTTTTCTTTTCCATTTGACTCTCAACTTTGGTGACTAAACCCTGAACTCGAGATAATCCCTGTAGAACTACTGCAACCCTTATGTACACCTGGTTTACCCCCTTAGATAAACCTCATAACCTTAGATAAACCTCATAATATATGAAAATAGCCTTGCGTATCTCTATATAATCTTGTATATAGTTGTTTCATTTCATTTTCCATTTTCTTTCCATTTGATTTTCCGTCATACCAGCCTTATACCCAAACCCTAAAATCTAAACCTACAGTTGACAAGGGTATTCAGACTGATGATTGAGGGTGTGTTTTTGAGGAGGGCAAGCAAGACCCCATGCTGATGCAGCAGACGTAAAAGTCCAAGGGGTTGTAAAAAAAAGGAAAGCCTTAATGATTTCTATTCCTACATTCGCCAGGCCCGGCATCAGCGACGTTGATGTGGCGGCTGTTTTCAAGCAGTTGGACAAAAACGGCCGGGGGCTGGAGTTTTGGGGGTTTAGGGCTTAGGAGTTTGGGTTTCGGGTTTATGGGGCCATTTCATAGCACATGCTTTATAGTCAATGCAGAGATGGCGCCACCCCACTCCCAGGGGTCTGCGGGTGGCGGCACATCTTGTGTCAAGCAGCCTTCTCACGATTTTGTTGAAGAATCCATCGAAATTGGCCACCCGCTGCCAGATATCGCGGGCTACCACCCAAAGCATCTCCAGCGTTTCAAGTAAAAACCGATTTTGAGCAGGTCGCCTGGGCCCCTGAGCCCCAAAGGCCCCTGGCGCAGGAATTCGCAGCAGCCAGGTGGCCTGCCCTGGGACCTCTTGTTTTGAATTTGAACGGCCATTTTTTTGTGTTGTTATGATGCTATGTAGCGATGGCGCCCTACACATTCGGGTGTAAGGGGCCGCATGCTTTTGCGAACGCCCATCCCGCAGCGAAACTCTAACAACCAAAATTGGTGTGTTGGTTTACTATTCCCACCCCTTGCTGGTGCAGGCATCTACCTAAGTTTACACACTTTCGTGTTTTGGGCTGGCACCCTAGATTTCCACGTTTCAGAACTCGCATGCTTTTCTGAATACGATTATTTCTGTTAGAGGTTCGGGAAGCATTTCGCTTGCTTAGTAGTTCCAAGCGGATGTGTGGGTTGCTGCCGCATATAGTTTCGGGTCCAGGCCAAGTAAAGGGCAGGCATGGCATGAACAAGCCTAGGTGAGAAGTTTAGGTTTTGGAGTTTGGGATTTTGGATTTAGGTTTTTGGATTCAGGTCTTAGGGTGTAGGATTTAGGAGTTTGAGTTTAGGATCTAGAGTCTAGGATTTAGAGTTTTGGATTTAGAGATTAAGTTTCAGGGTTTCAGGTTTAAGGTGTAGGGGTTGTCCTCAATCAATTAGACAACAGCGCCCAGGGTCTCCGCTGGAATCCAGAGATCGTGCCCTCTTTGGGCAACCTGAAATTCAGGGCCATATGATGGTAAGAACCCCCCAAAAATCAATCTTGACAACTTCCAGTATAATCCCCTGCAATGTTACTTTAGTGCGTTCTTGTACTCCCGTTTTAGTGCCAATGGATGCTTTCTGGGACTGTTCATTTGATTTAGGGTTTTGGTCTCACGTCTAAGTCATGTTCTGGGTTTTGCCTTGTCAGCCTAGCTGCACGGGATGTTTTCTGCATTTTGGTAGTCTGCCTCCCGTCGAAGGTTGTTTGTTATGGGCACCGTACGTGCATCTCGTTGGACAGAAGCTGCATCAACTTTCCAAACTTGGTTCCCAGTTGCTGTCAGATCTGGTAGTGACATTTAGCTTGTTCAACCATTTTTTCGTTAGCGAAGGTTACAGACAGGCCACGTAAACCGAGAGGGGAATCAGGGTACTTGGCTGCTCCTCTTGAAAGCTCATGAGTGATTTTAAGCTGGAGTAGCGCACCTCAATCAAAGCTGGAACAATGGCTATCCTACTCCATCGACTTGTGACCTCATGAACTCCATGAACCTCCAAGAAAACTAGTCTGACTTCTGATACCAGCTTGACTTGTCTGCTGGCTTCACAGTAAAAACATCAGATTGGGGCTACTACATGTTTTCTACAAACAACTGCGTGTAGGGATTTTACCACCAAAATGGAGAATCGAATGGAAAAGAACATGGAGAATGACATGGAAACAAGGGGTTCATAGGAATGATATTGGGGGCTAGTTGGGTATTGCCACGATAACGGACACATTACTCACATGGCGTTCAATGCATTGGGGCTTACACTTGCACTACCTTGGATGCCCAGCGCTGGAAGCTAGCACGCTAGCTAATCCTTAGTCCGGATTTTTGTGAGTTCGTTCTGATGGCCCTAAACATTAAACCAGGAGCCGAAACCCTTAGAGGACCCTAAACCCTAAGTCTTAAAAGCCTTCTAAACCCTTTTATAATTCCTATGTCCATGTCATTTGCCATTCTACGGGTTTTCCGGCAAGTCTCAAGTTTTCTTTCCAGCAGGGGACGGCCGGGTGAGCTTCAACGAGCTCGTCGCCTGGGTTTTCTCTGCAGAGGTGTTTGCCGTGTGGGGGCATTCCTAAATTGCGTGCCCTGAGAAGTTACTGGAGGGAACTGCAGCAGAAGAAGTTAAGCCTGAACCCTGAAGACATCTTTCTAGAACCATTCAGTTGAATGGAAGAGCGTTTCAGCTGAACCCCTTCATGTCAGCGGGTTTTTACATTTTGATAAACCCCCCGCCCCTCCGGAGTTCCCGGCGGACCACTCTCTCAACAAAGGTCTGGGAAATGGGGGTCATAACAAAAACCTTGAGGCTCTGAGCTCTTTCATGGGTGTAGTAGTAGTAGTAGTAGTAGTAGTAGCAGTAGCAGCAGCAGCAGCAGCAGCAGCATTGCCAACCATCACTTTGGAGCAATTTACTATCATCACCCCTTTACAAAACGCGCCCCTTGACTGCCCAATATCTGCATCGAGTTTAGCAAGCAGACCATAGCTTCGCAACTAACATCAAATTTAACATCCTAAATCTGAGGATATTCTCTGGCCAGGGGAGTTTTTCTCACCCCTTTGTAAAAACGATGCTGACATCATTGTTGGAAAGCAGCTTACAACTCATTTCTCAAGAAGGGGACTGTGGACTTGATAGCCAAGACCACTTGCGGGATAGTGCGCATTTTTATGGCCTTTGGTTAGCTAGGAATGAGTGAATGGATTCTTATAGTAGTCCCTATATAACCCATAATCGTAGTTTCCATTTTCTTTTCCATTATCCCTATACAAACCCAATAAACTATAGTAGGTTCCCTTTTCTTTTCCATTATCCCTATATAACCCCAATATACTATAGTAGTTTCCATTTTCTTTTCCATTATCCCTATATAACCCCAGTATACCATAGTAGTTTCCATTTTTTTTTCCATTCCTTCATTCCCAGCTTCCCAAAAGCCATTAGAGGCCGGACCCAGGAGCCTTGGTTACCCTGAGGGTCTGCGGTTTTGGGGGTCATTGCCCTAATGATGGAGAGTCACGATGGAAGATAAATAGAACATGATGCAGAAAGGAACTCGCTCAAAGGCTCTTGATGCTCTGTGGGGGGTATCACATGGAGATCATCACCATCGCAACCTTATGTCCTATACTATTCTGAATTTGACTGCTTCTGGTCACGTTGACGATCTCATCTCATGGCGTTTGAAAGATTAATTGGTCCCTTTGTTGTGGGGTCCCTTCACGGAGATTATCACGCACGGGGTAAACTAGAAGCATCCCTCTTCCTGGAAATTCGCAGGTTCTTCCATTAGCAAGACACTGTGGATCACCAAAAGCATAGTATGGAATAATACATTATTAAATAGTATAGTACAGTTCAGTATAGTATAGTTCCGCAGCGCCAACTTTCATTTTAATCCTAAACGCTTTTGCCTCAAGACAGTTGTTGCAATCACCCAAGCATTTGACATCAATGTCCCAGCGTGGTACTATCGCGCTAGAAGTCAAGTGGGTTGGGGAGTGAGCACTTCGGCTTCTCCAGACTCCTGGGTGCTTACATCTAAATGGCGGGCTCGATCTTTCTTCCCAAGAAAATGAACACTTCACCTCAACTACAGCACCAGAGAGGGCCGTGACCTCGAGACCTCCTTAACCCAAAACCGTCCTCAGGCCGCCCACCGATATAGTATACTCTATTATACTATACCAAACTTCACTATACTATACTCTACTATAGCTATATTCTTTTGTATTATGATGTAGCCCAAGTCCTGCAAACTTCAGTTCACCTGTCGCCGCAGGGCCCAGATTCTGAAGAGAGTGAGCGGCTGTTCAGCGGCCGGCAGACAAGCCGCCGGGGAAGCGCACCCGTTCCCTAGGAGAAATATGGTAGGGCCTAAGAATCACCAAGAAGCGGGTCAAAAAAAACTGCATAGTGTAGAGGAAAGACTACAACTAAATATTTACGATGTGCATGTCAGGCCGCAATCATCAGCGCAGTGCTAAGGACCTCCCCCTCTACCACATGGAAGCTTAACTGATATTTTTCAGGTACATGAGCCTTGTACCCCGTTGGATCAAGTAAGGGTTTCGTTCTACCTGGCTTCCGGTACGAGCCAAGGGTCATTTGTGTATGTAGCTCTACTTTGGGAAGGAATCCAATTTAGGGCTTAGCGGAGAAGGTATGAGCTACTGTCAATATCAAGCTTACCAAAGGATCATTAAGGGTGGACATGGGAGTCCCTCTGCTGGTAGCTTAGTATAGTCCAGTATGGTCCCTAATATATTTCCTAGGAACCCAGGTCCATTAATTCTATTCGAAATATTGACCGTAGTTCATATCCCTATGAAGGGAACTTTTCATTTGGTAGGTGGGCGCCAGCACCTTAAACCGTACACCCTACAATCCAAACCTCAAACCGCTGGGTTCATGGGACGATCTCGGACCTGTGCATCTCCGGGCTGCCAAGCGTATTATAGCACATCTGTGAGGCCCAACCCTTGCACTTTCAAACAAATGGATTCTTATACAAATATAGTTCTTAAGAGGGAGAGCATCAATCCCCTTATACGCCCTGGCCCTACATATCCCCGAAGTCCTCTGGGGTACCTTCATTTTGAGAAACCGTTCTGCTTTGCCCTCAAGGGCAGCTGTTTTGATGAATTCGCCAGGGCATTCCCCTTTTCCTCAATACCCTGAGAGGTTGGGAAGGAGCCTGTGGGGAGGACCCGAGCGCAAGCTCAGCTTATCAGGTGCCAAGCTATCTAGGGATAATGGAAAATGGACCCCCGACCCAGTGATAGAGACTATAAGGGATAATGTGGAGAATATTAGGGTCCTTTCATGTTCCTATGACGCCCCTATTGCAGAGTTGGGGGCGGGGGGGGGTCCTCCTAAACTATCAGTCCATGTTTGGGTGTCCCAAGTCTAGATCTGAACATTAGGCTTCATGCGCGGTCTTTTCAGGACCTGGTGCTGAAGCGGCCCAACTAAAATGTATAGCCCCCCTTAAGTAGATAGAATATGGGGTAATATTAGGGTTATATTGGGGCTATATGGGAAGAATGGAAATGCAAATGGAAACTACTACAATGAGTTATGTAAGGTATAGAACATGGGGTAAAAGGGGATCTCATTATAATATACCCAAAGCCATATTCTATCTACTTAAGGGGGACTATAGCCTCAGCAGGGCTCCTAGGCCTATACCAGCCGCGTGTTTGGGATCTCCTGCCTTGCATGCTGCCGAATTCGAATGCTAATCGCCTACAGTTTCCAGAATATCATGGCATGAACATTTCTCAAATTCTATCAAGACGCCAGTGATGACTCGCCCTTCCGGATCATGCCACAGATCAGGACCTCGATATGATGAAGGTCATGGGACCTGCTGGCTCTAGAGACGGAATCCTGTCGCTTGTTCCTTCAAGAGGTCAAGCGTTGAAATAAAAAAGCCCTACTTGCTGTGCCTGTGCTCTGCGTTAACTTTTCAATGCCTGATGCAGATTTCTGGGCGTGATGAATGGATGTTTTCCAAATCATGGTTTCCTGCCTGGGGAAGTGCACGAGATCAAATCAAGACCCACGCCCGAGAACCCTGCTGTGCAAATGCCTGGCTCAAGGCACGGAACCCCTTGTGCCGGAGATACCATGAACCGATAGCTGATCCATTTTTACGTGTTGGTGTGCTGATGCTTGGCTTAAACTTATTGGTTCTTAGTAGGGAATAGGCGAATACCCTGTATAGGGACCCTTAAGCCCTAAACCCTAGTAAGAACTAGTCAGTAAAGGAAGAGGCGTTGTGCTGATGCGTCCGTGAGGGTTTGACCGTCATCCTGAAGAATCTTTACTTTGTTTCTATAGTCCCACTTATTTAAGTAGATAGAATATAGGGTAACATAGGGATAATGTAAAGAAAACGGAAACTACTACTTAGGGTTTAGGGCTTAGGGTTTAGGATGATGGTCCCCATTAAGTAGATAGAATATGGGGTAATGTTAGGGTTATGCTGGGGCTATATGGGAATAATGGAAAAGCAAATGGAAACTACTACAATGGGTTATATAAGGTATAGAACATGGGGTAAAAGGGGATCCCTTTATAATAAACCCAAAGCCATATTCTATCTACTTAAGGGGACTTATGCATTGGGGTGAGAGCGTAAACACCCTAGGCCTTGCTTTCCTGGGTTGCTGTTAATCATTCGAATTAAGTCACTATAATCAGGAAACCCTACTGCTTACTGTATACCTACCATGTTTACTAGCTTATTTCAAGTTCCTGAACAGCAGCCCAGTTTCTGAGCTGAGGAATTGTGCGTGTGGGTCGCGCAGGCCCGGAGCTGGTGGTCAAGACTCCTCACTGGGAGGGTCCGGTGGATTTGACTATATACAGTGGTAGTAAGAAAAGTATTGATATGTATTGATAGTAATAATGTTGGTAATAGTAGTATATAATAGTACTACTGGGAATCATGTAGTACTTGTCATCCCTGTAAGTCATATTAATGACAACCCCAGTTATATCCTGGTTTCCAACCCCCCTGACCCTCCAAGTAGCATCCAAACTGGATGACCTGTCACTGGCTTGAGGATTGAGACGACTTTGGTGGGTCCTCAAGGGAGTTTAAGCAATGGCTGACATGACTCCTGACTAAAAAACGGCAAATTGTAGAGCCCTGGTACGAGGCAGCGAGATGGGCAAGAGCAGTATCGTATCGTTTTTGGTGCCAGGCGCTCATTGTTCAGCCTTTGCAGTGTAGATCTCAGCTGGGCTTGAAAATGCTTGCATCGAAGAGTTGCCATCTCATGGATGATTCGAGCGAATGCGTTTTGAGTCAAGGTTTTTCCTGGTTGAGCTCATCAACTCCGACAAGGAGCGACTGCCTCTTTTGCGTGAGAGAATCTGATGCATGAGCTGTGTTCGACCTCTGCATTCGCAGGTTGTGAGGTCGCCATCGTCGGCCTTGTTGGACGACGATCCATGCTTGCGCCGCAGCCCTGGCTCCATGAGTTTCTCCAGGTTTACATTGGGGTTATATAGGGACGGATAATGGAAAAGAAAATGGATACTACAATTTAGGGTCTAGGGTTTAGGTTTAGGGTTTTGCGTATTGGTTGTGTAAGTAGGGTGTTGAAGAATGCGTCATGTGCATGATGTAGAGGATTACCTTACATAAGAGGACCCATCGCAAACATGCAGCGCGCGTTCCAACTCAGGGTTGTTGTTATCAGTGCTGCTGTGCATTCCTGGTCCTGCAGCACACGCTGCTAAACCCTAAGCCTCTGATTCGTACGATGACTCCCAGAACCAATGTCACTTGAGTACGCTGAACACAGGTGTCTCGGTTTCAACTCCTCCGCTACCGGGGTGCATCTTTTCAAGTTTAGTGTTTCGGGCTTATGTAAACTTATGCTGAGTCCCAAAACGATCTTGATTGCCAGTAGACTAGGATTTCTTGTAACTGCTGCCCAGTCTTCGTCTAACGTGACCTATAACTTTGTGTAATTCTCTGAACCCTAAAAGCCCAAACCCTAAGCCCTAAACCTAACAACCCTATCCCCCTAAACCTCAATGTAATCCCTACATTAACCCTTATAAGCCCCTATACAACCCCTATAAAGCCCTTTAAATCCTTGTACAAGCGCTACTAAACCTCATATCAGCACCACATAATGAGTGTAAAGCAGTTCTGCAAAGCCTTATAGCCCAATGCAATCCCTACATAATCCCTATACATGTAACATGTCCCTAGATTCCCCAATATTTTTCTATACATCCCTAAATCTCTACCCTAAATCCTAAACCTGCAGATTGCATGCAAAATCCCTACATCATCCCTATAAACCCTACATAGACTTGTATTGTCCCGATGTAATCCCTGTACAATCTTTACATGCACTGTAAACCGTAAACAGGAAACCTTCAGATGCTATGATAACAGGTGTATATAAGCCCTATAGTGACCTTAACCCCAGACTCGGAACCGTAAATCCACCATTTTCTCTTCCATTAGTACGAAGTCCCCTATACAACCCCTTGCGTCCCACCCCTACACCCTAAATCCTAAACCATAAACCCCTAAACCCTAGCAGTTTCCATTTTCTTTTCCATTATCCATGTATGACCCCAAAATACTATAGCATGATAATAGTAATCCCCCAGAATATAGTAACCCCTATGTACACCCTGAACAATATCCCTAAACCCTACACCCGAAACCCCCGAAACCCAAATAGTTTCCATGTTCTTTTCTATCCCTATAGACCCCCAACATTACCCCTATATACCTATGGTACCTCTTTATCACCCCTATATTATCCCCATATAACCTCAATATTATCCCTGTACAAGAATAGGTGAGCCCGGCAGTCCTGAGTTCCAATGTGGCAGCAGCCCTGGGGGAGTGGTGAGATGTTTATGGGTTTGGGCTTGAGGGTTTAGGAGGTTTGCGGGTTTAGGGTTTAGGGTTTGGGGGTTTAGGGTTTGGGGGTTTTAGTTTTGGGGTTTAGGGTTTGGGGTTTAGGGGTTTGGGGGTTTGGGGTTTAGGGTTTAGGGTTTGGGGGTTTAGGGTTTGAGGGTTTGGGGTTTAGGGTTTTGGGTTTGGGGTTTAGGGAGGTTTCAGGGATGCTATCGGTCTCTCGATTAGTTACAATAGTGGGTTACTTTCCTCTGAGAGGGTTGTAGGGGTTATATATGTGAATAATGTGGCATTCCATGGTCAAGCTGCCAAAAACCAAATAGAAATGCGAAGGGAACTCAAATTGAAACTCAGGGTTTTTCGCAATATACCGGAATTCAGGGCTTTGCCTACGGGTTCATGGTAGGGAATGGAGGAATGGAAAAGAAAGTGGAAAATGATATAATTGGGGACTATAG